GTTGTTAGCTTAGTTTGTCGTCTTCAAATATTTAATTGGAAATGTTGATACAAATTCACAAATAAAATTATTAATACGTTTCTAGTTGTTCTTCCCAAGTGTTGAAACTATTTCTTTTTAAATGAGAATGTTGTTTATGAAATATCTGTCTGCGAATATTTTATATATTTTTCAAAACAAATTTAACTTACATCAACTTTAGAGATTTAACATAAGTTTTTTATAACAAAAAGTTTAACTTAAGAAGGAAACCAACAGAAATATAAAAATTTTTATTCTCTGTTTTCAATTTCATTGCCAAAAAATAGGTTATTTATTATTTGTTCGTTGTTCCTTATCTGGCAAAGTTTTCCTCTTGACTCACATCCTCAACTTCAACTGGTTTTCCATCAGTTGCCGTGGGTACTGTTACTTGGATCCCATGAGCTTGCTCAAACTCTCAAATTCGATTATTCTGGCTTCTGTTTCCGTTTTCTCAGATCTATACCACTTTTTTCCAGAGCAATCATGGCAGTGCACAAAAAACTTCAATCCGAATTAGCCAGAATCAATTCGTATGTTCAATATTTGGCCATGGCTTTTTCAACATTCTTGCTTGGAAAGCCCGGAATCCATTGTTAACAGCTTCATTAAGTCCATGGCAAAAGGATGGTCGTAAAAGCGAGGGAGTGCTCACGCCTCTGCATAAGGGGTAATATTACTGGTGCCATAAAAATATTTCGGGAGGGAAACTGCTGCCCAACATTGTACTTGTACTCGTATTTCTTGCACGTATTTATCCAAGGCCCTTGACTCCCTCTCTCGAAGTTTTCTCCATTCAAAGCCAGCAGAAAATGAAGAAATTCATTTGTAGCTCGCGTACCTGGATCTTCAGCCGAAGAATAAAGTTTCGACTTGACTGCACTTTAATCAATCCGAGAGCCACGAACCAAACCGAACTGAACCGCATTTTGACCCTCTTGATTATGTCGAACACGGTGGGGGCGTAAATTGTTCAACTTCCGGGGTTGCGGGGGTGCCAAAAAGTCATGGTCCCTTACCAAAGTCATAAATGTTAAGTTGCAGTTAAATTGCGGTGAAAAATTGAGAACATTTTTTGAGCTGCTGATAAGAACGTGAATAGATGTCGATGTTTTCTTAATTTGTGTTTATAAATTGTATATTTATAAACAAAATATAGTCTTGGGCATCATTGAAAAATGAAATGAAATTATTTAAACTTCAACCAATTGCGTTTGGCACTTAAAAATCAAACAAACTTTGTTTAAAGACCTTTACTTTAATTGAATAATAGCTTCCATTGTTCAATTGACTCTGCTTTGACAAAAATGCGTTGGAAAGTAATTATTCGTAACGTGAATGCACAAATTAGGTTTATTAAGGGTAAACTGACATTAATGCAGCACGTAGCACAAATTTCACATGCCAATTTTTCTAACAAATTCAATTTTTATTCGCGCATCCCACTCATGCACAGATTCGTTTGCTTCCGTAATAGAAGCTTTGAAAAAGGGGGGGTTGAGTGGATGGGAAAAGGGTGGAAAAAGGGGAAAACTTAGAAAAGTTCAAGCTGGTACCCACTTGAAGATGCGGCACCACAGACGTTGAGCCACATCCCCTAAAAGCGTCTGAGCTGTGATGAGCTGACTTCGCCTTTCTTTTCTAGCTTTTATCCCCCGTCGTTTCGCTCAGTGCAGCTTCTCTCACTTTGGCTGCCTTCCACTTAATCCATTGAAACAATAAGAAGCTTTGTTTGTTCTATCCACGACAGCAGTCTCGCACTTTTTCTTCTGGACTTTTGTTTTGTTTTTGCACTCCACGAAAATGGAAAGAGATAAAGCGATAAAGGAAGAAAGAGATAGCTTAAGTTGCAGCCACAGCAGTTTTCAGTTTTTAAAAACTTTAACAGTGTATAACTTTTCTATTTCTATTTTACTACCCTTCTAAGAAGTGCTTTATTAATTTTAAAGAGTTAAATAAAAACTTAAAATCCTTTAAAGCTAATTCTGAAAAAAACCTAAAACAGTTGTTTATCATTGGTATAACCATTTTAAAATAAGTTAGAAATTAAAAATATTAAAATTAAAAACTGATATTTCAAGTAATTAAATGTACCACATTAATATATTTCCAAAATTTAAATAAAGAAATTTTAGAAATCAATTTAAGAATAAGTGGTTACACTATGCTTCTTTAACATACACAATACTTTGTATACTTTTAAAAACGTTAACTATTTTTTTCATGTGTTCATATCTGCTAATTATTTTTTGAAGAGGATATTTCAATTTCTTCTCTCAAGCTAGTTATCTTTGTTTTTTTGAATTTTTCTCCAGCATTTTAGCTTGTTCTCCCATTGTAGTCTCCAAAGCGCGTCTGAAGTGCAATGCAAACGGCAATGGAGACAAAGCCGGCACAAAATCTTCGCCGACTGCTACTGGGTGTTTCATTTAGTGCTAACCTCTGGGTGCCCCCTCTTGGCTACTTCCCTGGCCGTGTGCATCCCAACTTCCCCCCTTTGATTCCATCCTACTCAGCTCCTGCCACTTCATCCCTTGTCTAGCTTATGATGACAATGGCTATGACTACGACTTTGAGAGGAGTTTTCGGAGTCGGGGAAAGCGGCATCCCTTGGCAGTGATTACCAGTATTATGGAAGCTGCATGGTTTTGACTCCTCAAGGATCTCTCCTCAGTTCGCGTCGCGTGTGACAGTCTCTTACTGTGCATATGTGCGGGTATACGGCGTTTTTGATAAGAAAAAGGCTATGCACATAGGTACTCAAATAGAGGAAGCAATGAAAGTGGCTTATGGGTGTGTAAAAAAGGGGGACAAGATGTGACATAGAGTTTCATTAAACTGAAACGAATGTGCGCAGGGTAAGTGGCGAAGATGATGGCTCATTATTGCTACATTTTCCGGGTATAGCTTGTGCGACACTTAATAAAAACTGCCTTGAATAAGAGGCATATTAATACGATATTGATCTAATAATTGTAAATTATTTAAGACTAATACAGAATACGATAATTACATTTGTTTCTGAACTAAATAAAAAACAGTTCAATTAAATTCTTTTGAAGTATTGTCATTATTATTTAATGCTTAATTTATTTATTTGTTTGTTTAAAATAAGGTGTCAAAATAAAATAAGTGTTTAACTAAATCTTACTGTTTAGAACCATTCCCTCATTAAAGTGCCTAGCCATAATTAAAAATGCTTCAACTAGGGTAGATTTATGCAGTTCTTAACATGAAAAACTTAATCACAAATCACATTTATTCATGCTTATTGTAGCGCCGAGCATAATGAAAAACGTTCTCGCTCTTCCCATTTTAATAGTGAAAATCCACACACTGCCACTTTTCTATTGCCAGACTGCAAAAGGCGGTTTTTCCCGCTTTCCACCGACCATTTTCCAAGCCATCATGTGCATTGTCGCCACGGAAATCCGCCATGTTGGCTGCTGCTTTTGCTCCATGGCGAAACCCAATGCACATTAGTACCGCTCACACACAGTCATAACAATAAAACTCGTTTCGTATTATTTAAATTTCAAATTGTATATGTATGAGAATAGAAAATGGTAGTATTTTTTTTTTGTGATTTTGTACCTGCTTGGCACTAGCACAATAAGCCATAGAAAAGCGTTACAATGCCAAGCTGGCAGGGAAATAACAAAAGTTGGCAAGAATCAGCAAATAACTCTGCCAAGTTATGCCCGAGAAAATGCTCCACTACCCCCCCACCACCAAACTTTTCCTCCCGATTCCGTGCCATTTTCTTTATGCGCTAGGCAAAAAGTTTTTTCTTGCATTTTCTGTGCAATCTGTTGAGCGAAAATGTTGTTTATTTCTTTCTCTTTTTGGGGAATTTCTTCGCCACGTTGCGTCTTTGTTTCAATTGCAATATTTGCTTACACGGGTTAAGGGTTAGCCTCTGCTACCTGTTTACAATTCACTTTGCTGCTCTTGAGAAATTACACATGCTTCACCCCCATTTTGGTTCATTTCTTTTTCTCTTCCATTTTCCTTGTATTTTTTGCTCGCTTCCCCTTTTTTTTATATGGCGCTCGAATTTCTTTCTTTGTGTTGTTTGTGGGGGGAGCAGGTAATCGTCTGCTTTATTTGCCCGCTACTTCTGCCGACCTTCCACCACCCTCATTTCTCCTTTTTTCCACAAAAAAAAGGAAAAAAGCACACGCCTCTAATAAGCGTCCGTCAGCTTGGGGTTCCCCTCGTTTGCCGCTTCTTGTTTGCCCTAACCAAAAAAAAAAAAAAAGAGAAAAACAAGGAGGAGCACAACAACATGATTGGAATTTTCCGGTGCAGATATTTTTTGCAAAGGTAGTAAAAGGAAAAAAAATTGCGACCCCTACATTACTACCTTACCTTTCTCTTTTTTCGGCCTTTTATTGATTTCTTTCAAGTTAAACAATTCTTTGTGTTCATGTCTAGTGGATATAATAAGTTGCAGCATATTGGTCGCTCAAAGGAATATACGAAAATATGTTTCTCTAGTCCGAAAGTGTTATGTTCAGTAAATAAATTATACATATCATTTCATAAATAAATTGCTCAATCAAGTTTAATAGATTTAAAATGTTTTAGCTTTGCTATGCATTTGAAAAGAAGAAAATAAATGAGTATAAATGCTGATTTGTGTATGTGTATAGTTCAAAAAAAAATAATTTGCTTTTCCATCGCATACAATAAATATACTAAACAAATTTAAATTTGATTTGCATTTAAAGCGAACACATTCAGTGCCAGACTTTGGCCTTGCTTTGAGACTGCTTTTCCGGCTGATTGCATTTGAATGGCTTAACCGTAACCCGAGAGCCTTAAATTCCAAAGGGGGGCTAGTCGACCATCTCTCATTCCTGTCCCCCCAAACCACCATCCATTAGTTGTAATAACAAAAGCAAAAAGTTTCGGCACGTCGACCAAAAAAGCCGAAACGCAAACAAACAAGAAAAACAAAAATTTCTCATGCTTACCTTCTATGTTTTCTGTCCTTCAGCTGGCATCAAGTACACGGACAACCAGCGTGTGATAATCCTTGTGAAGGATGTGAACGATGAGCCACCGTACTTCATCAACCGGCCACTGCCCATGCAGGCGGTGGTTCAGCTAAATGCGCCACCCAACACACCGGTTTTCACGCTCCAGGCCCGAGATCCCGATACAGATCATAATATCCATTACTTTATCGTTCGCGATCGAACTGGCGGTCGTTTTGAGGTGGATGAGCGATCTGGCGTGGTGAGGACCAGGGGCACCGATCTCTTCCAGCTGGACATGGAGTATGTGCTGTATGTGAAGGCCGAGGACCAGAACGGAAAGGTCGATGATCGCAGATTCCAGAGCACCCCCGAGGAGCGACTTTCGATCGTGGGTGGCAAGAGAGCTCCTCAGTTCTATATGCCCAGCTATGAAGCCGAGATTCCAGAAAACCAGAAAAAGGACTCCGAGTAAGTCAAAATACATGGGAAAAATAAATCCAACAAACCAGAAATTGCTAAATCATTTCACTGAGAGAGAGCTGAGAAACTTACGATGGTCGCCCATCGATAGCGACAAGAAACTATCGATGGTGGCCCATCGATAGCGACAAAATAACTATCGATGGTGGCTCAGAGAGGTAAAAAGTCGATACCTCGATATGGCCATCGATAGTTTCCCAGCTCTAACTCAAAGTTGACCAGTCATTAGCATCTTTTGCCCAGTGTATGCAAATTTTGTGTGGTTGCCAATAAAAGTTATGCATAACAATGTGAACTAGACGGCGGTCATGTGAATGTGTGTATGTGCACTGTACGTGTTTGTCTTCATTGAAATTCTGAAGGAAAAACAACTGTAAAAAGGCAGTGGAGCGAGTGCCAAGCGCACACACACATGCAGAACTTGAAGTGGTCTGCTGATGGACATAAAATATGCAAGAAAATTTTCCAGTTTCCATTTCGTATTTCCCCCTGCTAACTTTTCCGCATCCTTTCAGCATCATTTCGATTAAGGCCAAGTCGTTCGCAGACCGCGAAATCCGCTACACTTTGAAGGCCCAGGGCCAAGGAGCCGGCACCTTTAATATCGGACCCACGTCGGGCATTGTCAAGTTGGCCAAGGAGTTGGATTTCGAGGATCTGCGACAGCCGCACGTGTACTCGCTGATTGTGACAGCCACCGAGGACTCCGGAGGATTCTCCACCTCTGTCGATGTGAGTAAATCAATTTTTACACTGCCACAAAGTTGTTTTTGGATACTTTTTTTTTGAGGGAGCTTTCTCTACTTTTTATACCTTAAAAAGAACAAATGATACAACCTTAAGCACTCTTTTCTGTACCAATGTCCTGAATGATAAAATAAGTAAATATATAAATAACAATGTGTATATTTTAGCTCACCATTCGCGTAACTGATGTGAACGACAATGCTCCGAAGTTCGAGCTGCCCGATTACCAGGCCCACAATGTGGATGAGGATATTCCGCTGGGCACAAGCATACTTCGAGTCAAGGCCATGGATTCGGATTCCGGATCAAATGCCGAAATCGAATACTTAGTATCCGATGACCATTTCGCCGTGGATTCCAACGGAATCATTGTGAACAACAAGCAACTGGATGCGGATAACAATAATGCCTACTACGAGTTCATAGTCACGGCCAAGGATAAAGGTGAGCCGCCAAAATCAGGAGTGGCTACAGTGCGTGTTTACACGAAGAACAAGAACGACGAGGAGCCCAAGTTCTCACAGCAAGTGTATACGCCCAATGTCGATGAGAATGCCGGTCCGAATACTTTGGTCACCACTGTGGTGGCCTCCGACAAGGATGGTGATAATGTACGGTTTGGATTTGTTGGCGGCGGCACTTCGTCTGGTCAGTTCGTCATTGAGGACATAACCGGTGTGATCCGACTGCACAATAAGGCCATATCGCTGGACAAGGACAAATACGAGTTGAACGTCACCGCCATGGACGATGGATCTTGCTGTGTGAATGGCGATCAAACTATCCATACCTCCACCGCCGTGGTTGTGGTTTTCATCACCGACGTTAACGACAATAAGCCGGTGTTCAAGGACTGCAGTACCTACTATCCGAAAGTCGAGGAAGGGGCGCCCAACGGCAGTCCCGTCATCAAAGTGGTGGCCACCGATGAGGACAAGGGTGTCAATGGACAGGTAAGAATGGCAGCTAAGAAAAAACAAAAGCATAGTTGTGTGAAAGGAAAAATTCGGATCAGTTTATTTTTGAATTATTACATTATTTGCAAAACCATATACATATGTATGTGGTCAATTAATATATTTAAATTGTTCAAAAGACAGCCAATTAACTGCCAATATAGACCTAATTCTCTTCTCCTTCCGAATTGGGAAATATAATTCTGTTCCACTTAAATATCCATAAAAAAATACTTTTTGATATCAACTAAAAAAATTCCATTAATTTGTGCATTTACTAAGTTAGATGTCATTACCAATAGCAAAGCACTCTTCAAGGCCTCTTTCGATTATCCTTTCCCTAATTACTTTCCCCTTTCGGGCGGCAGGCCTGATTAATTACACGTTATTTGCGTTTTGAGGCCAGCGCAAACATGATTACCCACACCTAATTGAATTACCTGCATGTGTGTGGAAACGATAGGGTGATTTCATGACGAGATTTGGCCATAATTTTCTTTTCGTGCCCGCCAAGTTCAATGCACTGTAGAGTGCATGTCGCGTGTGGAGGACGAACGCCTCAACAGCTCCAATCGCAATTTGTGTCAATCATTAAACCATTTTGCATGTTCTCGCGCCAGGTGAAATACTCGATTGTTCAGCAGCCGAATCAGAAGGGAACCAAGTTCACAGTGGACGAGGAAACTGGAGAGGTGTCCACCAATAAGGTCTTCGATCGAGAGGGAGATGATGGAAAGTTCGTGTCGGTCACGGTTAAGGCCACCGATCAGGGTGATCCAAGTCTGGAGGGTGTCTGCTCGTTCACCGTGGAGATCACTGATGTCAACGATAATCCTCCCCTGTTCGATCGTCAGGTAAGTCATATAGTTATATAAATATGTCAAAAACACATAACTAATCATGGACATATTTCAGAAATATGTGGAGAATGTGAAACAGGATGCCAGCATTGGCACAAATATCCTCCGTGTCTCCGCCTCCGATGAAGATGCCGACAACAATGGCGCTATAGTATACAGCCTGACTGCGCCCTTCAATCCCAACGATCTGGAATACTTTGAAATTCAGGCCGAATCTGGATGGATTGTGCTTAAGAAGCCGCTTGACGTAAGTGTTTGCTTTTCATTTGGCCTTTAACATTTTTGAAACATCTATTTCTCCAATTATGAGTTTACCAAGTCCCAACTAACCATGTTTTATAATTTAACATTATTTTGATTTACCAAAAAAAAAAACGATTGATTTTTACTAACTAATTCAATGACGGATGCTTAGCATCTAACAAGTTCTGGTCAGAATTAGCGGCTTGTAAATATATCTATATACTTTATCATTGTGTTTTCGTTTTCCTTTCAAACTGCACCTTTCTTTTCTTTTGTATTTCAATGTTCTACAAGTCCGCAAAAAAGTCGTAGGTGAATTAGAATTTGATGTGCAATAAGTGCAAGTTTTTTGCCAAATTCATCAATATCTGCGTTTAGATATAAATTAAACTAATATTTTTAGTTGTTCCAATTGTTTTGTTTAGTTTATAGTGCGTAAAATTGGCCAAAGAAAGATACCACGTGCAAAGAATGCTAAGAAAGCAAATTGATTTTTAACATTTTTTGAAACAAATCAAACTAACACAACATAAGAAACGAAGCCCCCAAGTATCTGAAGATGGGATAAAAATGCTTATAACAGCTAAGCTACTTGTTTTTTTTTGTGGTACCAGGTTTATATATATAAGCAAACTGTATAAAATAGAAATATTTCAGAACGAGGACTCCAAAAACGATCACGAATATTTTTGAGCATCGTTGTATCCCATTTTTGAGGGATCTTACCAAACAAATTTTCAATTTACCTTTCAATAGTCTGATTTTTGTATCGCCTCTTTTTAATTTTTACCCGAAAAAAATTCCCCATATGTCCCAAAACAAAAAAAAAAAAAAAAAAACCAAATAAAAACTTTTTGTCGAGACTATGCAATTTTTTGAACGTCTCTTGCTGCAAGCTTTACCCATTTTTGCCTTAGCTGAAATTTATATTTTTGAAACCAATGTTTACCAAAGATTTTTGAAGAACATATAATTTTGCCTGCCCATGATAAATGGGGCCAAATATTTCTTTATGGAGATGATTAGGATATATTAAAGTATTTTTGTTTTAACTGCACCTTTATTCTATTATTTTTCTAATTTCCCAACTCTTTGAGAAAGATGATGATCGAGGCATTTATATGGTTTTCATTTTCATTTACAATTTATCTTTACATATCCAAAATAATGGTACTATCGAATGTTAAATCAATAATTTAGGGTTGTTATCCAGTAAGTAAAAGCAATTACTGTAACTGTGCTAACCCCCCTAAAAATGTCATAGTAATACAATAAAAACATTAAGCTAACCTGAAAACAAAACTAACTCAAGGGACAGACTCTACTTCATAAATTGTAAATAGTTGTGAAGCTCAAGACTCACATCATCTTAGGGCAACTCAAAATAGAGCAAGAAATAGTCTCGTCAAAAGAAACATACCATTTATGTAAACTGTCCCACCAAATTCCTTGTAACAATGCTACTTTGCCCATACTAATCCTGCTCTTATCCCAAATGTTTGAATATATCCCTTCTTTATCGAATTTTTTGTTATATACTTAATTTGTTTTATGTTTCATATACTTATAACAACATTATATTGAAATAAAACATTTCAACAACGATGCCATCAAATACGTAATCGTAACGTGAACCCAATACACAAACCAATAACGTAACCAATGCTAACATTTTGGGTTCGGTTCTCGACTACTCCTTGCAATGTTAACCCCGTTTTGCTGTTGACGCTAACATTTTGGCCCTAAACTTGTTCGACTGCTTCAATCGA